CGTGAAAATTTTATTATGACAATCACTTATGGTAATTCTCCTAATTCCTTTCTTGCATTATATAATGATCCTATATCTAAATATGCAAGTAACTCTTTTTTTTATATTAGATAATAACTTTATATTCAAATCTACATATACTCATTTTAATTATTAAATTAATAAACAATATCTTTTAAAATTATACTCATCTTTAGTACAAAATTTTAAGCATAATTCTTCAGTACTTGGACATTTTAATAGGTCTTTAAAGCAACCATTTCATTCACTTACATAGTCTCAAGTCCCATGTCAAATTTAAATCATTACATCGCATATTATTTCAAATGCTTTTTCCTATGCAAGTATCAATGATACCCAAACACCCTTTATTTTTTGCGATGACCCAAGACAAAGAACCTGTATCATACAATGAAGCCATCAAACATCCTTCTTGTAATCAAGTTAATTAAAAATTTTATTAAAAATTTAAATTATTAAAAATTGTTATATTGATTGTTTAGTTAAAAATTCGAGTAAAAATAAAAATATAATAAATAATTGTCTAACTAAATATTCTATAAAATTTAAAATTAAAATAATTAAAAATTTTACAGTAACTAAAACTATCTAAATAAAAATTACACTAAATGCCTAATTAGAAATTCTATTCTAATTAAAGCTTCTATAATTTAGAAAAGACATGTCTTACAAATTCATTAACTGAAAATTTTACTTAAAAACTATACTAGGTGTCTAATTAAATATTTTATTGAAAATCATTAATTAAAAACTATATCACCTGAACAATTAAATTAGTATAATTAAAATCATAATAATAATTTAACCAAAAAAGCTAAACTAAATTAGGATAATTAAAATTAATATGAAAAATTACATGAAATCTGTTAGTAGAACGGACTAGATATCGAGTTTATTCCTTTAAAAAAAAAAATATTGTGAGCAGTTGAACAATAAGAATTATCCGGAAAAGAAAAATAAAATGCAATAAGCAAAGAAAGCAAACGCAGACGTCACTAACGGGGCTAGAATACGAGACGTCATTGACGGACTTAGAATTACGAAGAGCCCTTTTTTTTTTTTTATCTTGTTTCTTTTGACGGCGACGTCAGAACTCCAACGGGCAAGGAGCGCACCTAAGCCAGATAATGCTCCCCCAAAATCCAATTGGATTGCTTCCATTATTAATTTATAACAAGTAAATCAACGGCTTTGACGTAAAGATTATCTAAATCTTTGATTATTTTAGATATTTTCATTTAATTTTTTTGACGTAAAATAAATTTAAGAGTTAAAAATATAATTAATTTATTAATTTTTGCAGTCATTACACGCTCATTTTTCCAGTTTTGTTTCTTTCCATATAAACACACACATTACCCATCAGGTCACTACAGGTACACATATGAAGCATGATCCATGTGCATTTCCAAAATTCATATCCAAAATCCATAACTGTTAATCACCACCGTCAAACAAACCTCACCAACTACACTCTCCGCCTTTCTTCTTTCTCTGTCAGTGGAGACTAAATAGCTCCATGTTCTTCTTCTGACCTTTCTGAACCAGTCATTTCATACAACCCTTCTTCTTATAACGCTCTTTCTAACGAACCCATAATCTAATCTTCTACTCTTTTTCCTTTTTCAATTAAAAATCTTTCTTCCTTCCCTTTTTTGCTTTTTGCTCTTCCTTCCCCTTCACCCTTTCTCTCTTTGCTACCTGGCTTCAACCTTACAAATCCAATAATCACATTATAGAACACCCATAACCCATTTTCCATTTCTAATCCCTTTGTTTTTCACTCTCAAGTCCCAATTCCTTTCTTCTTTTATTTCTGTTTTTCAGTTTTGTGATATATTTTTCTTTCGATTCAGATAATGGGAAACTGTTTTACTGGTCCCAACAAATCGACGGCTGAGATATCTCCCTGTGATTGCATCAAAGCCGTCGGTTCAGCCTCCGTCTCCGCCAATCCGGCGGCTGCTGCGCCAGTCACAGCCGCCGTCGCCACCACCACCGTCCGATTGTATGGGTCGCCGATCAGCATGCTTACCTCCTACATTCGCTTCGCTCTTCTCTATAAGGCCGTGCCTCTCCGCTTTGTCCCATCAGAAACGACGTCGGAGACGCCGACCCTCCAAATCGGATCGGAGACCGTGTCGGGTACTCGTGAGAAGTTGCTCCGTTTCGTGGACGAGAAATTTCCAGAGCCGCCGCTGAGAATGGTGAAATACAATCTGGAAGGGTTCGACGAAACGACGCCGTTGATTGTGAGGGTGACGTGGCTTCAGCACAGGAGCTTGATATGGCACCTGCATAAGATGGTGAGGTGGGCGGAGGATCTGTCGACACGTGGAGGCAGGAAGTCCGTTGATCCGTCGGTCGGGACCCCAACAATGGAGTTGAAGAAGTTCGGGAAGAGCTACTCGCATTTGCTGGATTTGATGCTTGAGCACGCACAGATGGAGGAGAGGGTCCTTTTCCCTGTCCTTGAAATGGCTGATCGAGGTAATCTCTACTGTATTCTGATACACTCTGCTGCAGGGAATCGGAACTTAGTATTAAATATTTTCTTTGGCCTTTTCCTGTTACAGATTGTTTATATGGATTTCTTCATTTTTTGTTCTCACCCAAAATAAAAAAGAAACTTTGACACGTGTTCTTGGTAAAGATTATTTTTGGAAACTTTATTTTATTGAAGTAATTATCTGGGTTGCCTATGTAATTTTTTTTTAGAATACTGATCAGATTTTACTAGAGGTTTGGAAGGAAATCTTAAATTGGGGAGTATGGTTTTTATTTTAATCAATGAATTTTTCTTTATTATATAATTCATTCAGTTGTTTGAAGAGAGTTGCAGAAAGCAGAGTAAGTGTGAATATGTAGGTGAGGCAGATGAGTTAAAGATACAAATACGAACTAATCAAATGGTTGAACTGCATTTATACAACTCTTATTGTACTTGAAGTATCTTAGTGGACACTCATAAAGCTAATCCATAAACCTATTGGTAAGGTTTAGCATTGTGGTTGCTTGTGCTTGGAGCAATTTGGGGAACTGTTACATTGGAATTATTCTGTTTTGCTTTTTGTGGGGAAAATAGGAATAATACAGGTGTATGTCACTTAGCTTTAACAGGTAAGCTTCCTTTTGGTGCACAAGGGTTTTGGATCTGATCGGATCAGATTGAAATCCATCTCGACATGTCTGTCTTTGTGATTTGTAGCCTAGTGATAGAAACTAGTCAGAATAATATCAAAGCGAAGCAGCATCCCCTTACTATCAAAGCCTACTAGTCATGAACATTGAAATTATTGGATTGTATGTGATGATTCAGGGATATGTAAATCTGCAAATCAGGAACATGCAAGGGATCTACCCGTCATGAATGGCATTAAAGAAGATATCAAATCAATTGTAGTTTTGAATTCCGGGAGCCCTGCCTACCGAGAGATTCTCTGCAACATCTCAGCTCGACTCAAATCACTGCAGGTATGAATGACATCGGTACCAGTTTTGTTATGTGTAATATGATACCCTCTGAATCTGCAGATTGCTTAGTTTCTGACTTCATTCAACTGCAAGTTAAAGATCCACCATCATGATTATTGTCGTGTTTGTGGGTGAGTGTATATAGGTTTATCTTTATACTTTGGTATTGACAGGAACGTACTAAGGAACATTTTGAGGAGGAGGAGAGAGATTTGCTGCCATTGATGGAGGCAACAGGGCTGAGCAGAGATCAACAGAGGAGACTACTAGACCAATGTTTTGATTCCATGAAAGGAACTCACTCACATATGTTTAACTCCTTCCTCGAAGGCCTACTCCCGCGCGATGCTATGCAGTACTTGGATTTAATCATGAAATTTAAAGACCAAGAATGACCCTCAATGATTGATTATCCAGTAAAGATTAATCCTGTCAATTTGTGGATTTACCATGAAAATAAGAGGAATGGATTGTTTTCTTTCCATGACCCTTGTTTTCCTTCATCAGCTGTTTGCATCCAGGGACCTTCGATTAACAGAAGGTGGAGAAAGTGGGGATCTACACAGATTTTAAGTACAGTTGCATTGTTCTGCTTAGTTGGAGTAGTCTTGTTGTTGAAGTTAGTTGGATTTTTTGGATGACAATGTTAAAATTTGCAAGAGGAAAATAGTTTTTGTACAAAATTTCATATTAATCATGTGAAAATAATAGTTTTGTATGTTTAAAATTGATTTGCCGCTAGTATTTTTAGCAAGAGAACTTAGATTTACTAGTGAGAAGG